TGTTTAACACTAATGTTAAAGAATGCAGCGAAAACCGAGATCAACACACTATATATATATATATATATATATATATATAATTTTTTTCACAATGTATTATGTATTGTTTCTCCTGAACAGTGCTCCTGAGATAATTTCACTTACTTTGCGTTTGACATCTGAAGCCACGCTGAAGAGCAGAGAGCTATAAAAGCCCAGCTCGATCATGTAGTACCAGTACTGAGACGGCAGAAGAGTCTAGAGACAGAGGAGACATGTCTTTGATTTCAAAATCCATATCCTAATTTGCATTAACTCATTGCAACAAACTAAAATGCACATATTTATAAAGTGACCTTTAAAATATTGTAATAATACCTATCAGGTGTTTAACACTAAAGTCAGAGAATGTAAAATAAGACACTTAAAGGAAACAATTGTTTTATTCGACTGTCTGTCCATTTAAGTCCATCGGACTTTGTGAGGCCTCCAATTTGCAATTAAAAAGCAAAAAACAACATAATGGTTTATTAGTTACATTTATCAAGCTGCAATGCACTTTGTGTCCAATTACATCCAACAAAACGAAACTTGAAGAAATGATGTAATCTAGCATATTTAACAATAAGTCAGTAAAACCTTTTTGAAAATATCTACAATTTATTACAACAAATAACACATAGACAAGAATTTGTCTTCGTATCTGTGCTCTTTATGTTCTGAGTGAAGTAGAACAGACAGAAAAGTTTAATGAAGAACAGTCTCATTCACAAACAAGTTTTAATGTAATTTGTTTGAATTTATTTGCACAAATATATCCTGTGTATAGAATATTTCAGTTTCCAATTACAAAGACAGAGAGGGCCCTGCAACCTTATGTTGTTTTGTAGAAAATGTGAAAAGTATTTAATATGAACAGACAGTGAAAATTACAACAAAAACTGTACTGTACATTTTATTTCTTACGGACAACTTGAGAATGAAACAGACAAATCAAAACTTTTGTCTCTAAAAGGAACTTCTGAAATCCTGGTTAACAAAACAATTAAATTATGTGTGTGGTTAAAACTCACACTTAGTCTAAAAAATAAAAATAATAAGTTAAATATTAATATGAAAGCCTGAGAGTTTGCACACACTGACCTTTGAGGGACTGGACAAGTAATGATGGACATTTGTGTGATTTAAATGACTAAAAATTATTTAAACTAATCATTTTCGTTTAACTTTATTGAGTGAATCTGTCTAGGAAATGCATCCTGTGAATTTTGTGTCTTAATGTTACTTACATTTATTTTATAAGACACGTTTCACAAGAATACTCATATGCTGTTTGGTTTTTATCTTACCAGTTAATGTGGGTTTAACCAAATGAAAACATGACATTTGCATGTGTGCAAAAACAAAATACGCCCACAAAGTGATGACAGGATTAAGTTGAACTTTCTTCTGCATTTCTGTGTGAGAAATAAATTAAACAAAATGTTCATTCATTATACATCCCAAAGACGTACCAGCACAGGAAAGCCTTGCCACATCTCTTTCACGTCATACAGCCAAGGTTTCTGAAAGGATATGTCAGACCAGTGAGACAGCAAAACTCGATAGAGGTGTATTTATATCAACTGAGTCAGCATTGGGGACAGTCAATGTGCTTCCTGTCTGCATGGTGAGAGGCGAGGTTATCAGAGCAAAAACAACGGACATCTACCAGTACAGTACATAAAAACACCGGAGGAACAACAACCAGGAAGGTGACGGATGAGGAGGAGAGGCTGAGGCTAAAATGTACTCACGTCGATGAGGGCGCCCAGGCCAGCAATGAAAGCCAGAAGGTAAAAGGTAAATCTCCAACTGCAAGAGAACACAAACACTTTCTCCTCAAACAGGGAAACAATGATGGAGGCTAACAGCAGAGATGCATAATTACTTAACACACTCCTAAAAAGTGTCAAACTCTTATTGGTCTTCATGAGAAAACAGCTGGTTGTTGAACAGCCAGGAAAAATCTGCTGCATCTCAACAAGCAATAAGATGGCTCATCATATCCTCTCTCAGGGACACTTGGTCACTGCTGCAACTCATACAGGTGCAGTAACAACATGAAAAAGCTGCAGCAATGAGTCAACGGCACAGAATTGTTGAAAATACGGTAAGAGTGAGAGATACAGCAGTGGAGTGGGGTTGGGGGGGTTAAGACAGAGACAGAACGCCTTTTGTCCACACACAGACAATAGATGGATTCAGAAGGAGGAAAAAAGTCATTCGGCAGAACAGCACTGTGAAAATCACACCATCACCAGGGAGTGACAAAGTCACATGCACGCCTGCACACAGCCACACACACCATAAGCAAAGTGTCACCACAGAGAAGCTGGAATCAAACCTCTAAAGGTTCAGCTCACCACAGTGACAATGTTTGTTAGGTTTTAAGGTGTTTCTTCTAAGCCTCCTGCCACCACGACACAAGTAAATAGAAGGTTTTGAGGAACATTTTAACTTCTCCAACAAAGTTCTCATGACAACACAACCAAGTAAACATGAATCACTGTATATAAAGGTTTCCAGCCCCTTTTTGGCATCTGCATTTGGTAGCAGGCCAAACTGACAAAGACCATGCAGAATAATGTATTTTAATTCCACGGCAGAGAAAGATATGTAGTCTCTGTAAATAGGTCTAGGAAAAATAATATTGGTATTGGTATCGGCCAAATAAGTTTTAATATATCGGATATCAGCCAAAAATCCAATATCGTGCATCTCTAATAAATCTGTAATTAAACAAGAACAACGTCCTGCAGTTAGAGAGGACAAGGAGATAGTTGGAGGACAGAGGATGCAGAGGACAGAGTGAGGTGGAGGAGGACGACTCGCTGTGACAACCCCTGAAGAGGAAAAAGCTGAAATAATAAGAAGTAACGCGAACATCCACCACAGTAAAGCCAGAGATGATCACAGAAATACACTGAACACAACACATGAAACTTAATGATAAACATAATTTGTGTGTGCATTTAATTAACATCGGATTTCCTCTGAGTCTTGTGACACTAACTGATTCTCACTGTCTGCACAAACACCCACACACTATATTTGCAATCCCAGGTGGTACAGACATGTCCCAGCAGCCTTGTTTTATGAAGCTATACCCCCACTGTGGGTTTCATTCTGCTCCTGTCACAGTTCGTTTGCACGTAAAAATAAGCATGAGTGGTGACTGAGCTCCTGGTGGTGATTGAGCTCATGGCACAGGTGAAACCATGTTCTAGATGTGGAAAATGAAAGTTGGATGTGTGTTTTTGTGTCTGTGTGTTTCAAGAGCTGGGGCAAAAGGCCTGGTAATGACAGACTGGCACAGTAATAAATGCATGTTAAAAACAGAGGGCTACTTTTGCATCCAGAAATATCTGCATGAAAGCAGAAACACTCAAGGCTCACAGCTGCTTCCACCCACTGTACAGGTTTACATCTTAAATGTAAAGAAAATTAGCTTTTGCCTGCATTTACCTGGCTTCTCGAAACTTTTTGAGCAAACTCGGCCTGTCCTGGTTCCGTCTTCTTCTGAACCATCGTTGCACTTGTCTTTCTGAATACCCGGTCTGCTTGCAAAGGTTTGCTACTGAAGACTGAGACAAGCACAATGAGGTGTGATTCGAGTATTATTTCTAGTAACAAACATCAGACAGTGGTTTGTGTTTGTATTAAGTGTGAAGAAGTCTACCTGTGTGGGGTTTTTGGTAATGTTGCAGTAGTAGGACTCCAGTGTGGGGTTGTGTGGCACTTTGATCCGAACTGTGTCTTTCAGACCGAGCAGAGAGGCTAAGGGTATAGCCACCGTCCTGTAATCACAAAACCAATAATGAGATTAAGAGGTGACATTTAAAAAAAGAGTTACACCGACAAATGTTTTTCCAGTCTAATAAAAATTATTCTGATTTTAAACTTGTGGCTTTTTCACACAGCTTACATAATAAAATTCAAGACATTCAGTTAAACACAACCAAGGTGAACATACATAGTTTCCAAGTAAAACATGTTTGTGCTCGTTTACAGATTTTTTTTTCGTCCTTCTCTAGCTGAGCAATAAACTCAGCTGCAACATTCCTCTGCAGGGAATTTTTCAAGAGGACCTCTACAGCTCAACAAAAACAGCAGCAGGAGCCTCTGGATGAAAAGCAAAAGCAAAAAGCGAAGGATGGCGTTGAAATAGATAAATACCACAACAGTCTTTCATGAAAATATTTATGTCCTCAGAAAAGCTGAAGGCTGTTTGTACATTCTTCCACAAACATCACATCCATTATGAATGAACACAGAAAGAAAATACAAATACAGAAACGTGTCAAGAATAATATTTTCTTACTCAACAGATTATTACAAGGTCACACCCCTATTGGCTCAGTGGTTAGCACTGTTGCCTCGCAGCAAGAAGGTCTTGGGTTCAATTCCTGGTTGGACCTGGGGTCTTTCTGTGTGGAGTATGCATGTTCTTCTCGTGCTTGTGTGGGTTTTCTCCGGGTACTCCGGTTTCCTCCCACAGACTAAAAGTAGGCTGCCTTCAGGCCCAAACCTCCCTTGCAAAAGAGATCTGTGATCTCAGTGGGATTTGCCTGATTAAATAAAGGTTAATAAATATTGAAAATTCATTGTTTTGCCCACTGTGCTCTGACTGAGGTGTCCATACAGGCATTTTTAGTCCTATGGGACTTTTATTCAGAGTGTTTTATACCATTAAAACATAGCTACAGAAAAACCGATGGACAGGATGCAACTATGACATATTTGTTTGTCTGTACTAGCAAAAGCTCATGAACCAGTGGAAATGGTACGACAAAACCCTCTGAAAATAAAATCTGGATGCATTTAACTGGTTAACTTTTAGAGTCAACCTGACTGGCCACCACAGATAATCAACCTTAGCAAAGGCAAAAATTGCTATAACATAGCCATTTGTACAAAAATTGAGCTAAAATTTGGTGCAGTAAGCTGAACATTAGCACCAACATCACATTCAATACTGTACACACTGTTACAGTCAACCCTGTCTGTCTGTTAGCAAAAAATCTCATGAACCACTGAACAGGTTTTAATGAAACTCTAAGAAAGAAATCATTGGATGGATGGATGCAACTGATTACTGGTACCTTTTGGAGTTGATCAGATTCATGATGGCCGTCATAGCCAATCAAACTTAGCCAATACAAAAAATGAATTATTCAGCAAACACCACATAAACTTTAGGTTATGGTCTGTAAATCTGACAAAGTTATCTCGAACACATACTTCAAGCACATCAGTGAGATCGCACATCATCCCCAGACTGCATATAAGTTTGAATTAAAATATAAATGGAGTCACAGATTGCAAGTTGCGCTGAGAACGTAGTTAAATATGGCATTTATAGTTGTGAAAACCTCACACACAAGACTCATTTAAACACACTGCAGCTTTATGAGCAGCAGCAAGCTGTTATCATTCAAGTTTATATACAGTAAGTAATGAAAACAACTGGCTTGTTTAGATAATTAATCTTATTGTTATGTGACTGAAGGTGGGAAGGATATAAAATAATAATGAGCAGGTGAGCCTGTTAGCATTAGCAATAAAACAAACAAAACATAAAGTCAATAGTGTCTGATTTCCAAAAGAGCAGCGGCTTGAAGAGGAACCAGTGCTTTGATGTGAGAAACAATTTCATCCACGTCAATAAATAAACTTCTACCTTTTTAAAAACAAGACCAAGATAAGACTGCTGCGAGATAAATGATTTCTGTAAAACAATTAAGAGTTGCAGAAGGTAGAGATAGCTGGCAAGCTAAAAGACGAAACAAGGAGAACCTAAAAATAGAATAAAAATAAAAGACAGGCAAATAAAGCAAATGTTTGAGTTGAACAGTCAAGTGTAACAGATGGGCCAACAGAAAAGTACAAAAATGAGCCGACCTTTCAAAGACTTGACGGATGACGAGGAAAACCAAGGCAATGGGAAGCGCCACCCATAAATCCTGAGCTTTGGCGTATACTCGTTCGTCCCGATCCTCCAGGTCAGCCCAGCCTAGACCCTCCGGAAACCACAGCCGCTCCTGCCAGAACCACTCGCTCAGTTCCGACAGCATCCTGAAAGACGGTGCTCACTAGGACTCAGCACTACGTCTTTGGACGTATTAGCCTGTAAAGATAAGACCATCAAAACAAACAGAAACATGGTAAAAAGTTCCACTGCAATAGCTGAATGCACAAACACATATCGGTGCTCTGGCAACATATTGAGATTGTTTGGTGTCACATTACAAAACAATTATTTACATCACACTGGAGGCTTTTCTGTCCATCTTTCCTAATGGATGCAACAGACCATAGGCAAAGTGGAGGGGGTGATGGAGGCCCACATACAGTATAAGGGAGGAGCAATTTTTTTTTTCCTTCACACGTTCATGACGAGCTCACAGCTGACGGTATGTGCAAGTGTTGAGTTTTACTCTGTGGGTTCAGACATGAATATTTTCGCTGTGCTATGTTTAGGGAGTGGCAGGGAAAAGAGAGTAAAAAGCTTGGCAGCGAGAGAGACAGAGCTTCTGCGGGATATGAATCATCATAACTCATGCATTAAGTACAGAGCAGCAGGGCTGTCCGTACACACTCTGTCTTGGGAGTCCCCTTACAGATCCACGGCAACTCCACCTCCCTAGACTGTACATGCCAAAGCCCTGTAACCAGGCACTCCCTTCCCCACCCGGGTCGATCCCAGACAGGAATCAAAAAGGATTCCCTCTTCAGTCCAGAGACTCATTATTCCACCATCTTTAAAACTTCTCTACACACACAATTTGTGTGAATGTAAAGTAGAGTTTGGACTATTAAACACCTATTTGATGCATATTATAAAACTACACCTAAACAGTAGAAGTTATTGGACATTTCTGTTGAAAAAAAGAACTTGGCATTTCTTCACAGAATGCATATCCAGCATCTTTCATACCAGAACACTACTTCATGTCAGGCAAGACTAGCAAATATTCACATTTGATTAAACAATTTCACAAGCAAATATTCACAATTATTAAGCCAGAGCATTGTTACATACAATATGCTGATAAAAACACTTCCAGGCTGAAAGAAAACTGACACTTTCTGTTTTTCTTGCTTCGGCGTCAGCTTTGCAAGAAAAGTCAAGACATTTCTGAGTCTAATTTATCACCCGCTGCTGAAATGTTAAGTCAGACAATAATCTTTTTGCCCGTATCTGTCAGTGTGTCCGTTAGCAAATTATCACATAAAACCACTGGCCAAATTTTAATGAAACCTCCATCTCCATCTTCTACAGCTTATCTGCAGTCGGGTCGCAGAGACAGCAGATCCAGGAGAGAAACCCAAACATCCCTCTCCCCAGCAACACTTTCCAGCTCGTCCTGGGGGGACCCCAAGACATTACTGGCCTTGGCAGGGGGCTTGTCAGATGGGGGTAGGGGTGTCTTGGGGGGAGGGTAACGGAGTGCTACGTTACTAATGCTAGGTCGAAGCCACTTATCCTGTGGCTACAATCTCAGTTCCGTGTCCAGAAGTAGCAGAATTTGGTAGGCAGGGCGCTCGGTTCTGTTGACAGGGCGGGATGTCCTCCTTGGATAATAGTAGAGGAAACTGCAATCCAAACTCTGGAGGAGCAGCGGTTCTGCTCCGAGCTCCCATCAGATGACGGAGCACCTCACCCTGTCTCTAAGGTAGAGCCCAGCCACACTGCAAAGAAAGCCCATTTCGGCCGCTTATATCCTAGATCTCGTTCTTTTGGTTATGATCCATAACCAAAAGATGGTCGTGACTAGGCCTGTCAGGATAACACATTTTTCTTGGCGATTAATTGTCTCAGAAATGATTGAGATAAATGATATTGTTAGAAATTTTACAATAATTAGTAATTATTGTCAAATTTAAGAAGAAATGTTTGTTAACTTGTTTTGCATGTAGTACTCTTTTATGGCCAGCAGATGGCAGTATAAGATTGGCTGAACCAAAGGATGGATAGTGAGGGAGCGAGCAGCGTCTCTTTAAGAAAAATGGGAGGGAGGCCCCTTGACGTGACATGGGCTGTCTCTCTTTGACTCGCAAAATGGCGAACGCTCTGTGTGGTTTGAGCTCTTTAGCATAGCATTTTTCACACAAAGCTTTTACTAATAAAACAGTAAACAAGTTCTCAGCTTCTTTTGCAGAGAAAAAAGTTTTTACACGAAGGCACAGGTTTCAACCATGAATTTTGGAGCTTTGACAAGACGGAGGTTTTTTCCCCGAGGTCAGTCTGTTAGCTTAGCTTGTAGCTTAGCTGCTTTTAACGAGCCAAAACTGCAATTTTGGACGGTTACAATGGATTTTAAAGAGAAAAATTAAAGGGAGGGTTCAGTGAAGAGCACCGGAGTTGAGCTTTTTGTCATCTAGTGCCCAGTAGAATGAGAGAGACACGAAGAAACAATAAAGCTGATAAATGAACATGAGGTCGTTAATTTTCATTTATCATGCGATTAATTGATTTATTGTTTATCACGACAGGCATGGTCATGACCATAGTGAGGGTAGGAACAACAGACCAGAGAATTGAAAGCTTTTCCTTTTGACTCAGCTCTTTCTTCACCATATCAGACCAAGAAAATGCCCTCATTACTCAGGATGAGTCCCCAATCAAGCCCATTGATCCATCTCCCACTCCATGCTACCATCACTTGTGAACAAGAGGCCTAGAAAATCAAACTCCCCCACCAGAGGAAAATTCTCCCCCTGACCCAGAGGGAGCATTTTATCCGTTTCCAGTTGAGAACCATGGTCTTGGACTTAGAGGAACTCATTGTCATTCCAGTCGCTACATACTCAGCTGAGATACCCCCCCCAGTGCATGCTGAAGGTCTAGGCCTGAAGAAGGGAAGTTTGAGATTGTCATCACTGTATGTTCCCATACAATGTCAAAATTTGTTCTCTGCAATTAACCCATCACACGTGAGATCCACCCACGTGGAGCAGTGGGCAGCTATGTAAGCTGGGGAGGGATTGGGTGTCTTGCAAAGAGACAACATGACATGTGGGAATGGCTGGGAGTCGAACCGCGACTTTCTGGTCCCAGGTCGGCTGCCCTACCTCTACCCCATCTCAGCCCTCATAAGAAGCCAACAGAACCACAACATCCCCATAAAAGAGATGAGACCCTGAGGTTCCCAAACCAGACACCCCCCTCTCCAAGACTGCGTCTCAAGATCCTCTCCATGAACACCACAAGTAGGATCAGAAACCAAGGACAGCCCTGGCAAAGTCCATCCCACACTGGGAACAAGCTCGAGCTCGAACAAGCTAATAGTGAAGCTTGCAGAATGTAATCTTTGGATGTTCGTCTACAACTGATTAATTTTTGAACTCACCCTAATTTATTATACCCACCACAGCTATTCAATATAAACCAACACAAAATTTGTTTATTCCTCTGTTAGTTTTACAGATATGTAACTAAAATTTCATGCGGTAGTAGCTTAGAGTGACAAACGCATGTTGCAAGCCATCTCACAATATTGCACAGGATTATGCAAAATGTACAGCTTATTTCTCAACATAAGATGAACTCAGTCTAAACCTCCTGAAAGGGCCTGACAGATGGTGGGCGATAAGCATTTTTTGAAGGAATTCATACATGGATTTGAAGGCTTTAAGTTTGAAAAATAAATCTCACCAGAACTCTGATACCTGCTACTTTTCAAACATATTCTGTTACAAAAAAATCATCATAAGTCTGATAGCTAACACTGTTTGTGTTTCATTCATAAAAAACAATCAAACAGCCGATCCAGATCAGAGCCTCATGTTTGCCTTCATCGTGAGTAGGAGCTCAGGTTAATGAGAAGGTGTCATCACGTTAGAGTAAGTTAGTTATTTTCCACATCGTGTCACGTTAGTCATCATGATCGTGGCCTCTGTTTCCTGTTGCAAGAGCTTGCCTGGCTACTCCTCACTGCACTCTTCCTTCTCTCTGCGATCAACACAGGTGGTAGAGGACGGGAAAGATTACGTAGTTTTCCCAGTCACTTTGCCAGCTCTTCCACTCCAGAAACTTAATGTGCCACATTAAGCAGGCTCTGCTGAATAACACGTCTGTGTGCACATTTGACTGCACATATAAACATGTAATCTATCTGACCAAAACCAGATAGGTAAATGAGTGTTTGAGCATCAGTATTCAGGGTTCAAAGGGCAAACAGAGCAGTGACTTCTTTTAAGTGTAGTAGTTTATTTTATAGACTCAACATGCTTTACAAAGAATTAGGGGAAGTGTGCAACAAAACACAGACAAAGTTTTTTAGCGAAGCAGTTTGTTTTGGGAATATTATTTTAGAACTGCTTGTTGAGATCATTCAGAGAATTCAGCATGTTTAAGCACTTTTCCTCCCCACGGCTTTTACAAAGTCTTCATGCCATTGGTCTGCCAGATCATATGACGGAACTCTGACCATTTCAAAGGTCCAATAAAAGAGAAGAACACCTCCAGCAGGGGAGGGAAAAAAATGAGCGTATCTCTGCCTGACTCTACTCCTCACTGTGAATATGCATCCCAAGCATGTGGTGACTGTAAACGGTGAGCTCACGCCGAGCTGGCAGAAAAACCACGTCAGCCGTTAGTGATGTATGCGTCTCTTTACAGCTCAACCTGAACCCTGGATTGATGAAGATTTAAAAAAATGGATGAAACCTAAACAGATCAGACTGGAACATGGTACTGAGTCCAGGAATCTTTGAAGAATGTAAACACGCTGCCAGCAGCACACACATGGAGGGAGCACTCAAGCTTTCCCATTAATGAATAAAATCTTCTGGTGTTTCTTTTCATCATGGAGTCGAGTCGACCAAGGCAACTTAAGTCACGAGCCTCTAAAAATGTGCTTTGACTATGACTCACTAGTAGCAAACCATCTGTGTTGTAAACCTACCCATTTACTCACATCCAGCCATGTTTAAGATGATCACTGGCAGCCGAATCATTCAAACCACAGCTTTTAAAATCACCAGGAGAGACAGACAGAAGAGACTAAAATGGCACGAGAGAGCAAAATGTCCAGGCTTGAAGAACCTAGAGTGAGAATAACGTACAGACGAATAATTTTGTTTGAAAAAGGGGTTTGGAGTAGTTTGTCAAGTGGACTGAAT